TATTTTATATATATTTTTTATTTTTAAAGGTCTTTCATTTTATCATTTTTGAGTGATGTGTCATTTTTATAACCTACTTGTTGCATAAAGAAATTCTTATTTTCTCAGTATTTTCATAGTTTCATTATTTACTTTTAGATATTTGGTGATTCAGAATTTATCCACATATAAGATTTGTGGAAAGTATATTATTTCTTCACAGTTCTTCGAACTATGGAATCATCAATTGATAATCATTTTTCTCCTATCTGAGTAGGCATATTTATCATATATTTTATTCCCATATGTATTTTTTTATTTCTGGACTTTTAAATCTCTCCCAATTATCTCTCTACCTATCATTTGGCCAATAAACACTGTTTTAATTATTTAGGCTTTTAGACATGATTTAATACTTCTTAGTTATTTTTCATTGTTATTCATGTTTGTTTTCTATATAAATTCTAGAAAGTCTCAATTTAAAATTTCTCAGAGTTTTTAAAAACTGTTTCAAAATGATGGAGCTGACTTTTTTAAAAAATAAAAAAAATTGATAAACCTAGACTAAGAAAAATATGAGAGATGACTGAAACAAAATCAGAAATGAAAGAGAAGATGCTACAATTAATGATACAGAAATACAAAGGATCAGAAGAGACGACTGTAAATGTTTATACTTCAACAAATTGGACAACCTGGAAGAAATGGATAAATTCCTAGAAACACTCCTTATAAAGACTGAATCATAAAGGAATAGAAAAGTTGAACAGAATGATAGTGAGTAAGGAGATTGAATTGATAATCAAAAACCTCCCAACAAAGAATAGCTCAGGACTAGACGGTTTCCCTGGTGAATTCTACCAAATATTTAAAGAACTAACACTTAAAGAAGAATTTAACTTCAAAAACTCTTCCAAAAAACAGAAGAGGAGGGAACACTCCCGAACTCATTTTATCAGGCCAGCATTACCCTGATACCAAAGCCAGATGAGGACACTACAAGGAAAGAAAACAAACCAATATCCTTGATGAACATAAATGCAAAAATTTTCAGCAAGATACTAGCAAACCACATTCAGCAACACATTAAAAGGATCATACACCGTGATCCAGTGGGATTCATCCCTTGGATGCAAGGATGGTACAACATATGCAAATCAATAAATATGATATGTTACGTTAATAGAATGAAAGATAAGAATCATATGATCATTTCAATAGATGCAAAAAAATTGACAAAATTTAACATCCTTTCATGATAAAAATTCTTAACAAATTGGATATAGAAGGAATGTGTGTTAACATGATAAAGGCCATGTATGACAAGCCCACAGCTAACATAATACTCAATGGAAAAAAGATTTAAAGCTTTTCTTCTAAGATCAGGAACAAGACAAGGATGCCCACTCTCACCACTTCTATTTAACATAGTACTGGAAGTCCTCGCCAGAGCAACTAGGCAATAAAAAGATACAATCCCAAATTGGAAAGGAATAAGTAAAATTTTCTGTGTGCAGATGATATGATCTTGCATATAGACTGTCCTAAGGACTCCACCAAAACTGTTAGAACTAATAAAGGAATTCAGTAAAGTTGCAGGATACAAAATCAACATACAAAAATCACTTGTGTTTTCTACACCAACAGTGAAATATCTGGAAAAGAAGTAAAGAAAACAATTCCATTTATGAGAGCATCAAAAACAATAATATACTTAGGAATAAATTTAACCAAAGAGGTGAAAAATCTGTACACTGAATATTATAAAGAATTAATTAAAGAAATTGAAGAAGACATAAATAAATAGAAAGCTATCTCATGTTCATGGACTGGAAGCATTACTATTGTTAAAATGTCCATACTACCCAATACTATCTATAGATTCAATGCAATTCCTATCAATTCTAATGACATTTTTCACAGAAATAGGAAAAATAATTCTAAAATTTGTATGGAACCACAAAAGGCCCAGAATAGTCAAAGGGACCCTGAGAAAGAACAAAGCTGGAGGCATCACACTATTTGAAACTGTTACAAACGTACAGTAACCAATACAGTATAGTACTGTCATAAAAACAGACACATAGAGCAATAGAACACAAACGAGAGCCTAGAAATAAACCCACGCATATACGATCCACTAATATTTGACAAGAGAACCGAGAATACTTAATGAGGAAAAGATAGTTTCTTCAATAAATGATACTGGGAAAATTGGATATTCACATTCACAAGAATAAAATTAGACCCCTATCTTCACAACACTCACAAAAATTAACTCAAATTGGATTAAAGACTTAAATGTAAGACATAAAATGGTAAAGCACCTAGTAGAAAATATAGGGAAAAATCTCCTTGACCTTGTTCTTGACAATGATTTTTTTGGATACCACACCAAAAGTGCAAGCAACAAAAGCAAAAATAAACAAGCAGGACTACATCAAACTAAAAAGCTTCTGCACAGAAAAACAAATAACCAATAAAATGAAAAGATCACCCATGGAATGGGAGAAAATATTTGTAGACCATGTATCTGGTAAGAGGTAATATCCAAAATATATAAGAAACTCATTCAACTCCATGGCAAAAAAATAATCTGATTAAAAAATGGGAACGTGATCTGAATAGACATTTTCCCAAAGAAGACATACAAATGGCAAACAGGTACATAAAAAGATGCTTAACATTAGTAATCATCAGGAAAAAGCAAATCAAACCACAACGAGGTATAACGTCACACCTGTTAGAATGACTATCATCAAGAAGACAATAGATAACAAATGGTAGTGAGGATGTGGAGAAAAGGAAACCCTTGTGCTCTGTTAGGGTGGATGTAAACTGGTACAGACACTGTGGAAAATAGTATGGAGTTTCCTGAAAAATTAAAAATATGACTAACATATGATCCAGCAATGCCACTTCTGCGTATATACCCAAAGGAAATGGAATCACTATCTTGAAGAGATATCTGCACCCCATGTTCATTGTAGCATTATTTACAATAGCCAAGACATGGAAGCAACCTAAGTGTCCATAGATGGATGAATGGATAAAGAAAATATATATACACATACATGCACAGTGGAGTATTATTCAGCCTTAAAAAGAAATAAATGTTGTCATTTGCGACAACATGGGTGGACCTTGAAGGAGTTATGCTAAGTGAAATGTCAGACAGAGAAAAACAAATATGGTATGATCTCCCTTATATATGGAATCTAAAAAAGCCAAACTCATAGAAACAGAGACTAGAATGGTGGTTATCGGGGGATGTGGGTGGGAGCAAGGGGGAGATGTTGGTCAAAGAATACAAACTTCCAGCTATAAGATGAGTAAATTCTGGGAATCGAATATACAGCAGAGTGACTATAGTTAGCCATACTATATTAAATGCTTGAAAGTTGCTAATGTTCTCACCACAAAAAGAAAGGGTAGTTATATGAAGATATGGAGGTGTTAACTAACCTTATTGTGGTAATCATTTTTCATTATATATGTGTATCGTATCATCATATCTTAAACTTATGCAATGTTGTATGTCAATTATATCTCAATCAAGACGGGAAAAAATTAGAAAAATAAAAGTCAGAAATCTTTTGAAAAAAGAAGAAAAATAAATACTCCAGAAACATACAATTAGTTAGTTAATTTGATTGAAAGCTAAATTTACTTTCTTGACAGCCAAGGAAATAAGGAGACCATGACAAGTTTTACATTTTATTATATGATAAGGCAAAACCAACACGGTTTTTGAAAAGAAACATTTTCCTGACACTAAAATCTATGTGGAATCCATTAAATTGATCCTCATACACCTTCAGAGATTTAAGATAAGAGAATGGGACTTGATTTTTTTTTTTTCAATCTGGCTTTTCATTTTCAGTGGAAAGGATAATGTACTTTTCTTAAGTACATTGGTAGGATAAATCGTATTAATAAATTTCCTGATACTGATTTATCCTGCTGTTGGCCATGGTGCCATTACTACATTATTCCTTTAGTGTGCTACTGAATTTGATTTGCTGATATTATATTTAGGATATTTGCAGTGATGTTCATACATAAAATCGATCTTATTTTTTTCTGTTTTTTGGATTTGTGGATTATAGATATTCTTGTATCATAATACTTTTTTCTTTTTATATCCTCTGGAATATTGTTAGTGGAATTCGAATGATCATTCTTCCCCAAAATTTGGTAGAAATCACCTGGTACATTTTTTATAGGTCTTTTGATAATTTCTATGCCTTGGCTCATCATAATTGAATTATGTACGTTTTCCAATTATTTGGCAATCAGCAAATTTCATTTTCCTAGAAAATTATCCATCTGTTCCATATTTCTAAATTGATTTTTGTGGAGTAGATCTATGATTCTTTTAATTTCTTCTTTATCTGTAATTATTTTTATCTTAGTATTTCTTATTTGGTTTATAGGTTCCCTCTTCTTTATTGAGTGAGCTTATTATTACTTTAAATTTTTTTAAAAAAAATCCATATATATATAATCTACTATTTTACTTCATTCAAATGCATTAATGTTTGCTTTTATCTTTATTAAATCATTCTTCTTTTTATCTTTGCTCAAATAATACCTCTTCATAGAGAATCTTACCAACAAGCCTTATTGGTAATTCAGAAAGCAATTCTGTGGTTAGCATCTTCTCAGCACTTAATTCTTTATATTTTACCTGTTTGTTAATTTATTGCAGGAAATAAACCTAAATATCTCTTGGGAACACCTTTTGAAACATTAGAGTGAGGAATAAGCATCTATCTTGTTTCTGTCTTTATACATTTATGATTTTATTACGTTAGCTCTGTTTACTTTAGGGAACATACCTTCAATTAAATTTTCCTTTTTGGCTACCAGGTTCTTTTCTCCAAAATTTCCACTTTAAAGGCTCCTCTTCTTGTGTAATGAAAGAAAATCATTTTTTATCTCTGAGGATATTAATTAGAATTTTTTTTTTAAGACTTCATTTGGGGCTGGCCCAGTGGCGTAGTGGTTAAGTTCATGTGCTCCACTTCAGTGGCCCGGGCTTCACCCGTTCGGATCCTGGGCACGGACCTACTCACCACCCATCAAGCCATGCTGAGGCAGTGTCCCACATAGAAGAAATAAAAGGACTTACAACTAAGATATATAACTATGAACTGGGGTTTTGTGGAGAAATAAGAAAAAGAGGAAGATTGTCAACAGAGGTTAATGCAGAGCCAATCTTCCTCAAAAAAAAAAAAAAAGACTGCATATTTAGATTCAGGGCAAAATTGACTGGAAGGTATACAGATTTCCCATACACCCCTCCCCCACTCATGCATAGCTTCCCCCATTATCAAGTTTGTTACAACTGATGAACCTGCATTAACACATTGACACATCATAATCACCCAAAGTTCATAGTTTAAATTATGGTTCACTGCATTCTATGGGTTTGGACAAATGTATAATAACAAGTATCTATCATTATGGCACACTGCAGAGTATTTTCACCACCCTAAAAATCCTCTGTGTTATGCCTATTTATCCCTTCCTCCACCCTACAACCCTGACAACCATTCATCTTTTTACCATCTCCATAGTTTTGCCTTTTCCAGAATGTCATATAGTTGGAATCACACAGTATGTACACCCTCAGGTGGGCACTTTTCACTTATCAATACACATTTAATATTCCTCTGTCTTTTCATGGCTTGATAGCTCATTTCATTTTAGCACTGGATAATATTCCATTGTCTGCATATACTACAGTTTACTCATTCACCTCCTGGAAGACATCTTGATTGTTTCCAAGTTTTGACAATTAAGAATAAAGCTGCTGGGGCCAGCCTCATGGCTTGGCGGTTAAGTGTGCACACCCTGCTACTGGCAGCCCAGGTTGGGATCCAGGTGCGCACAGATGCGCGCTTCTCTGGCCATGCTGAGGCCGCATCCCACATACAGCAACTAGAACGATGTGCAACTATGACATACAACTATCTACTGGGGCTTTGGGGGGAAAAAAAAAATGAGGAGGATTGGCAATAGATGTTAGCTCAGAGCCGGTCTTCCTCAGCAAAAAGAGGAGGATTGGCAGGGATGTTAACTCAGGGCTGATCTTCCTCACAAAAAAAAAGAATAAAGCTGCTATAAACCTGCATATGTATGTTTTTGTGTGGACGTAAGTTTTCACGTCCCTTGGGTAAACACCAAAGAGCATAACTGCTGGATCATATGGTGTAAAAAACCACCAAAATATCTCCCAAGTGGCTCTATTATAATTAGTATATTTTTCATTGATCTATTTCTCCCTGTATTGTCTTTTTTCTTTGGAATTGTATTTCCTACTGTCTCTCTCTCTCCTTCTCTCTCTACATATATATATATAATATTTTTTTTATATATGTAAATAAAATTACAGAAGATTTTCTGCAACTATATAATGATTCATGTTGGCCAGGTAGGAGAGAAGTAATAAAAATTTTATTGAACTCTGTGTATGAAGGAGCAGTATAATTTAACTAATAGATTTTACTCTAAGGTGATCTGGTTTTGCTCTTTTGTTTAGATAACCTCAACCCTCAATATCTACGGGTCTTTTCTTTTGGATTGATGTTTCTCTAGAAAGAAATTTTCCAATCTCCTAAATTGTGTGTTGAAATTTAACAATAAGCATTCTTAGAGCTGAGTGAAAGGTTGGGTCTGGGGTTTCAGTTTTCAGTTTATGGAATTTTATTCCATGCTCACAAGTTGAATAGAGTGCCCATAATCTTAGGTTAGGTACCACAAAAGAAGAGCCTGAGGCAGGGATGTAGATGCTCATGACTTAGTGAGACAGGTTCTCTGCAAGAGAAACCTAAAATGGAATGAAGTAAGCTGAATAAGGAAGAGAAATAACTATGGTCTCAGATAAATTATAGCCTAGGCCTGATCCATAGGAGAGGAATAGGGGTGATCTGGGACATAAACCTCATCAAAGGCTGGTTCTATTCTTTTCTATCAGTAACACTTTGCCTTCCTTCTTTAGGATGGTGGTGGTAATAATATAACTTCCAGGCATCTCTGGGCAAACCAAGAGAAATTCTCCAGAAAAAGGTGCAGACATAAGCTGTCACCCACTGCCTCTGTGGGATGACAGCACTAGGACTAAGAAAAAGGGTCTGGTTGAGTGAGGTTCCCACATGACTTTGCCCTAATGTCCAAATTCTATTTGGTTCAGCATCTCCAGGGAGTAAGCTGGCTGGGTAAGGAATGTTCCAGAGTTGAAATTATGTCTCATACATTTTTAAACAAATAGTTCTACTTTTTTTGTACCAATGTGTGTTAAATGTAGCTATACTTTGTCAAGAATCCAGTGCCTCCAATTTCTTGGTTTTTTAGGATTCTGTGGTGTGATTCATCTTACGTGTGAAATTCCCCTGTTGCTGGCTTAGGGTTTGGTTCCCTTTGCTTTTCTAAGTTACTCATGGCTTATTTGATTTCCAATTATAAAAGCGTTGCTGTCATGCTCTATCTCTTTCCTTTGTTCTCGTATACTTTATGTGCTTATGCTCTTTTTATCCATTTTACTTTTAGAGTGGTTTCAGGGGAGAGAGGTTGTAAATGTGTGATTTAATCTGTTATATTTAAATAGAAGTCACAATGGTTTACTTCTGCAGAGTTTCCCCATTTCAGAAGAGTGCTCTAAGGAACGTGAAATAAGAATGATAAATATCAAGATAATACATAATAACAATTAAAATGTACTGAGTGCTAAACACTATTTAAGAATTTTGCATGTATCATTTTATTTAATCCTGACAGCATCCCTAAATAGTAGATGTGATTATTCTGACGCAGCTATTACTATTATTGGATGATCCGTAAAGCAGAAATAATAGTACCAAGCATATAGGTTCTTGTAAAGATGAAGTACACAACCCATAATTTTAATTTTATGAATTTAATTCATAAAAGGATATAGAATAGTGCCTGGCATATAATATGTGTGTATGGTAGGCAGAATAATGCCCTTCTCCCAAAGATGTGTACATCCTAATGCTCCAGAAACTTGTAAATATTTTATGTTACCTGGCCAGGGGGAATTGAGATTGCAGATGGAATTAAGGTTGTTAGTCAGATGGTAAGTAGATTATCCTAGATTACCCAGGTAAACTCAATGCAATCACAAATGTTCTTTAACGTGTAAGACCGAGGTAGAGAGTCAGAGGAATGTGATGGGAAGTCAATTTGGAGGGATGTGATGTAAGGACTCAACCTGACATTCCTGCCTTAAAAGACCGAAGGAAACCACAGCCTGGAGCCCCTAGGAACTGGAAAAGGAAGGAAAGAGATTCTCTCCTAGAGCTTCCAGAAGCAACATAGCCATGCTGACAGTTTGATTTTCATCCAGTGAGACCCATTTCAGACTTTTGACCTCTAGAAGTTTAAGATAAATTTGTGTCGTTTCAAGCCACCATATTAGTGGTAATTTCTTGCAGCAGCGATAGGAAACAAATACAGTGCATAGTAAGTATTACTTTTTATAATTCCAATTTTAAAGATGAAGAAAATAAGCAAAAGAGATGTAACATTCCAAAGGTTATATTGTAAATTTTAGAGCCAGAATATAAATTCAGGTTGTCTGAGTTCCAAAATATCCTGTACTTCTAACTACTTTGCTAAAGTTTTAATGCTTGTTATACTATAGGTAAAAATCAAAAGAAAAACACAGCTCAGCTTTTCCTGCATAGCTTTTTAATTATCATTAATGATAGTGAAATAATTCATTCAGATATCAAATAAACAGTTTTAATTCTAAGTCAAAAAGAATTGCTAGTTAAATTCTAATCTCTACTTTTTAAGTCCATTTTTTGCAAATAAAATTTATGATAAAATAAATTATAGACTATGTATAGTATATTTGTGGATGTTTTATTGTACTCAAATAATAATTTTTTTATTATTTTATATACTTATCTTACTTCAGTACCAATAAGAATATTTACATTTTAATTCCTGATGTAGCTTACATATTGTTATATTCGTATACAAGTTCAGTAACTCTTCATAGTTGAGTTGAATAATTCAAATCAGCAGTTTTTTAGTCACAATTATATAAATACAAGTATGTACAGATTTTTACATTTCTAGTGTAATAGACTGCTCATAGTATACACTAAATAGGTGTAGAAAACCATACATATCATGTTTTTTTGTTTTTTAATGTGAAGAAGAGGAAATTTGAAGTTTCTATTAACATTCTGTGCTTCGAGGCAATTTAGTCAAGTATGACAAGATTATGCATTCTTAGAAAAAGGGATATTTCAGAGAAAAGAATGGGCTTAAATTAAGCATAGAAGAGTGCTTAGTGAATAGGTTCTAGGTAAAAATTATTGAATGAATAAAAGAATAATACCATGTGCTATGGACTGAATTGTGTCCCCCTAAAATTCACATGTTGAAGCCATATCCCAGTGTGATGGAGATGGCACCTTTGGGATTTGGATTTAGATGAGGTCCTGAGGGTGGGCCCCTAAAGGTGGGATTGTTGCCCTTATAAGAGGAGGCACCAGCGAGCTTGCTCTCTTTCTCTCTGCCATGTGAGAACAAGTCAGGAAGAGAGTTCTCACCAAAACGCAACCACACTGGCATCCTTATCTTTCAGACTTCCAGCCTCCAGAACTGTGAGAAAGTAAATTTCTGTTGCATAAGCCACCCAGTCTATGGTATTTCATTATCGCAGCCTGATCTATGACACACAAACAACTTATGCATTAAGGGAGGGCATTTATATTTTTAGAATTATTTTATGTACCTAAATGAAGTACAGATAGTGTGAATTAGAAAAATTAAATTCAAAGTGCAAATTGTTAGTAATTGGATTTTATTATTGCTATAATAAAGATAACCCAATAGAATAATATAGACTATTTAGGAGTACGTTAAAATTATGTCTATATATATATATCTAAGGGACACACCATCAACATTTTAGAGCTAAATATTTGTTGTTAACCAAGCCTAAGTTATCTTTACATTTAGCACAGCGTTAAGAATGGATATAATTTAATCTGTTTTATGAACTCTCAAACAATTGTAGAAGATTCTGCATATTCTACTTTTTCACAGACAAAAAATAAATGTGAAAAACACTGAAAATAACAATTTGATAAGAAACCATGCATATTGAAATAACACAAGTACATACTCAAATTTAGTTAAAATGAATATTTTCTGTAATTAATTAAAATTCTTATATCTCACATAGTAAGATAATTACTTTCTGAACTAAGAGAAAAACAATTTCTAACTCAGCTATGTAGCCTGCTTGACTGTTTAACTGTGAAAGCTTCTATTATATTTCTATCTTTCTCAAAGGTCTTGGCAGGAAACCCCAATCTCTGTGAATTTCCTTCTAGCCAAATGTATTTTATTTATGACAAACATTAGTAGATAATAAAAGAATCAAATGATATTTTGCAGACTGGAAGACAGAAGTGAAGAAAGATCTTAACTTTTGTGTTAAGAGGACAATTACTAATACTTTTTTCTGTAGTACAAGATCTTAGGAAAAGAAATCATTTGAGAACAAAATGAAATATTTAATATGGTCACCTGTTGCAATATGCTACATCTATATTTTAGCCAAAATGAAAACGTGTAACTAATGTTCAAGGAAAAGATATATTTGAAAAGGGGGAAAGGACAATGTACTCTCATTAAATTAAATTTAAAATTTAAAAAATTCTCCTATATGAGGAATATATAATACTCACACATTTTTTTGAAAACATTCTAATTAAAAGTGAAATCCCTATATCTTTTATATTGTTGATTTTGATTTTTACGTTTTGTAGATTTTTTTACCTCTATAATTATTTTTTTCTAATTTGTATTTAATCCAAAAGATATTTGCTAAATAATTTACCTAATCATTTGATATTTTTCTCCATACTACTTTATTTTTCTTTTATACTGCTTTATAGAAATTGTCACCATGACTTGTAGCTCTCCCTAATCATCATTCAGATACAGTTAAGCTTCTGACTTTCCTGGAGGAAGAGACTACCTTTCTCTGAGTAAGTCAGATGTCTTGGCTCTCATAGTACCGTGTCAAACCTGCTTTTTATAATTATAAAAGTTGCAATTTTACATTAGTGTTTTTATATTAGTTTTATTTATTTATTTATTTTTTGGTGAGTTAGATCTGTTGCCAAGCCTCCTCTTTTTGCTGAGGAAGATTGTCCCTGAGCTAACTCTGTGCCAATCTTGCTCTACTTTGTATATGGGACACCGACACAGAATGGCTTGGTGAGCAGTGCCCAGGTCGGCATCCGGGATCCCAACCTGCGAACCCCAGGTTGCTGAAGCAGAGTGTGTGAATTTAATTACTATGCCACCAGGCCGGCCCCACATTACTGTTTTTTAAAATATTATTATGTATTTCTTTTACTAAATTCTAAGTTCTGTGAGAGTAGAAAAGATATCTGGTTTACTATCCTTAGGACTTTCCTAACGTGCTGAACACCTGGTAGGTACAACAGTCCATGTTTGTTAAATGGATGAATAAACTGGGCTAAGCTACCGTTTTATTTTGAAGGGAGGAATGGTTAATTTGAATTATAGAGTAAATAATAAATATAAAGAAAAAAATATTTTAAAACTCAGATAATAAGATTATGCTTTAAGCTTTCCAAGACCTGTATGTTAGTACAATGATGTTTTTATCAGGAAAGGTGTAGTTAGAATCAGCTGAAAAAAACTCATCACTAGTGTATTCTACTAAACGTTCAGGATTGTAAAATTAAAAAGAATTTACGAATATCTGAAGCAGATTAAACCGCATCTTAATTCAAGGATTGTTTATTTTATCCTTACATTATTTTCCTTACATTTTGTTTATGGCCTAGTTTTCATATTCTATACTAAGCTAGAAGGACATTCATTTTAAAAAAAACCAAAAAACTCCTATCCATTGTTGTAGTATCTTCCTATCCTTTTTATTATTGTATTCAAATTGGAAGTATTTTCAGTGCTTAAAGATATTCAAACACTTCCAGTATCTCAGAAATCAAAGAGGTCAAAAAAATTTGACAGATAAGAATTAAGTATCCTTTGTCTCAGCTGTTAGTTTTGCTAATAATCTAAAGAGTAGAAATTATTTTAAAAAAGAAAAGCAGAAATGATCATTTTTTTATGATGGAGTGAAAATAAAATCCTGGAATTATAAAAATTGATTTTAAAAATAACCGAAGCCCAGGGGCCAGCCCAGTGGCATAGCAGTTAAGTTCACCCATTCTGGTTCAGCGAACCTAGGTTTGCTGATTTGGATCCTGGACCTGGACCTACTCACTGCTCATCAAGCCCATGCTGAGGCAGCCTCCCACACAGAAGAACTAGAAGGACCTACAACTAGGATATACAACTATGTACTAGGGCTTTGGGGAGAAAAAAGAAAAAGAGGAAGACTGGCAACAGATGTTAGCTCAGGGCCAATCGTAAAAAACAAACAAAAAAGCAACCAAAGCCCTAACCATACCGATTCCAACTATGTAAAGAAATGTTATACAGATTTAAAAATAAAATTTTTAATAAGATTTTTTAAAATTTAAATTAATCAGAAAAATCACAAATAATTTTCTCTCTCTTTGAATAAATGTAGATACTACATTAACTGTTGTTTTTTAATACATAAGATTGTAATCTTATTTTTTTCAGGAAAATCCTGAAGAATAAATATGTTCTTTGAATTTGAAACTTTGTCTTCAGATTTTAGACCAGATTTACAGTCTAGATTTTTCTATTGGATATACCAATAGAACAGATTTACAAAGCTGTGTTTAAAATTCCTTGATTTGGAAATGAGAGAATAAATGTATGATATCTTTATGATTATGATTTTCTATGTCTACTCTTGAGAACAATTCAACAAATTATGGACCACTATATAAACATTTTATCATACTTTGGGCAAAAAAATATAGAGCCTGAAGAATATTACAAACACATAACAGTCTCAACAGTGAAAATCTAAAAAGAGGTGTAAACTATGAAAATATCTGTAGCTTCTGGCAACAGAATCAGTCCATCTGACACATCTTTTGGTGGGTCAGCAGAGAGCCTGTGATGTCCATATGTAGTGAGAAGAGGGTGGGTCTCCTGGGTCGTATTCAGTTTTATTTATTTATTTTTAAACAGTTTATCGCAATATCACCAGTGAACTAAACTTTTAACATCAACATGCACAATAGAGTAAAAAATAACTGTTTGGTAGATTTCAGATAACAGTCTAGCAGTGAAGTGTTTTTCTTTATAACTCAGTAATGCTGGGCTGAATAAGTATAGAGAATGAATATAAAATCCCTTTGAGAAGCGTTTATTGCACCCTTAGGAAGTGCCAGGTCCTGTGATGGACACTTAGAACATCCAATCCTCTGCCCTACGGTCTTCTCAGTCTGATGGGGGAACTTCTGATAACAACACATTATAATAACACATTACAAATAGCAACACCAGGGGCCCAGCCCAGTGGCATAGTGGTTAAGTTCTTGTGCTCCGCTGCCACGGTCTGAGGTTCGTGGGTTTGGATCCGCGGTAGGAACCTATATACCACTTATCGAGCCATGCTGTGGCAGGCATCTCACATAAAATAGAGGAAGATGACCACAGATGTTAGCCCAGGGCCAATCTTCCTCAGCAAAAAGAGGAGGATTGACAATGGATGTTAGCTCAGGGCTAGTCTTCCTCACCAAAAATAACTAACTAACTAACAACACCAGGACATTATAAATACAATGTAAGATATTTTCACACAAAGTTGTGGGAGCATAGAGAAAAGGAATCTCATCCAGCTGAGACAAGAGAATAGTTTTTGGAAGGCTACAGGTTTTTTGTTTTGTTTAGAAGCAATAAGGCAAAAAGAATACCGTATAAAGGGGATAGTGTGCACAAACTATAGAGATGTGAAAAATGCTGGCACATTTTAATAAATACAAGTGGTTTGATGTGATAAGTCACAAAATATATGTGGGAGGACCAGCAGAAGATGATATAGAAATAAAAATTTAGGCAGAGGCTAAAATAGCAAGTGGCTTACTGATGCCCTCCTAAGGGCTTTAGGATTTATTCTCAAGGTGAGAGGTAGTCACTGATGGAATTCTAATAGGGAGATGACAATAGATGTATATTCTGGAAAGATAATCTGGTCACAGTTTTGAAGTGTATGGGAGAGGAGAGTGGTTTGGAAAAATTTAGGAAGTTACTGTATTAAACTTGGTGAGTCTGAAAAAACTAAAGAAAGGAAAATACAATGCAAGACAGAATCATCATTAAAAAAGGAATTCTGTAAACTGTAACTGATTAGATAAAAGAGATAATTGAAAGAATAGATATGAGAAATGACTTACATGGTAATAATATGTGCTAAGTACTTTATTTGGATTGTCTCCTTTATTCCTTAAAATATCTATAAAAGCACCATTATTATATTCTAATTTTGCATATGGGGAAAAAGACTCAGAATACTTAACTAAATTGTCCAACTCATCCAATCAGTAAATCTTCAAATTCAGGTAATCCAACTTCAAACACCAGCCTGTTTACATCTCTATTATACCGAAAACATATTCAAGAATTTTGGTCAATGAGGTAGGGGAAAGTGTCGTTCATTAGAATAATGAATGTTTTTTTTTAAAGAATGGAAGTGAGAAGAAAGATAGTGAGATAATTTACAATTTGTTGAGTTTGAGAAGCCTTCAGAACATTTGATGAGATATGGATGATAGGAAATTCAATGAATATATCTGAAAAATAAGACAAAACAAGAAATCCTGCACTAAAATATAGATACCTTAATGACTTTTAAGAGAAATAATCTTCCTTGGAGAATTCATAGTAGAAGAGAAGATCATGGGTGAGATCTTGAGAAACAGAATAATATTAAAGAGATAAACTTCAGATAAGGCAACCACGCCTTTTACGGAAAGCTCTAATTGAAAGAAAACTCTTGAAGATACTTTTTCCATGTCATATAAATATATCCAATAATTGTATCTTACTAGCAATTCAAAGCAGATATATTTATTTTACCTTAATAGCAATTCAAAACAGATATATTTATTTTCTTCTATCGATGATTCTTTTAATATTTAAAGATAGCCATCCTATATTACTTAGGATTTTCCTTTACAGGAGATTCCCTCATTACTGTAATATGAATCCTGAAAATTAGCACCATTAGAAATACTTTTTGGATTAAACTCTTGACTCTAGAAAGCACCTGTTAAAACATCTGTTCCCGGGTAGAGAAGATTACATTTACCTTAGCTTGGATTTGTTTATTAGATTAACCTTATTGAGAAAATTCGAATCTCTAAGTAAAATCAACATAAAATAAGGCAGCTTTCACTACAGAGGCAGAGGATGACCCAGAGAATGGGCTATTCTCCGTGAAGGTTATCCTTTAGTGAGACATCGGAAGGCATAGAGTCGTCATGAACATTGTAGAGCAAATCATATAGATGAAAATTCAGAAAATGGAAAGGAGCTAAAAGCTTGTAGTGTTCTATGAAATTTTCCATTGTTGACCTTGTATACAAGTTAAAGTCAGTGTCAAGTAGGTTTGGAAAATATGTTTTTATCAAGTTGCATGGCACGTTTTTCATTGAATATTTAGTGTTGATGTAATTATTTTTAAATAGCATCTTTTGGTAAGATACAGAAGTGACACAAATTTGAGTGTTTAACTTCACATTTTTCCAAAATAGGGACACAGCCTGGTGGCTATTTAAATATTGAAAACTCTGAATTAAAAAAATTTATTTTTGTGAATGATAAATATGTTCCTGGCTATGACCCAAATTATAAAGCTTAAAGATATAAAACTACAAAATGGATTTCAGCAATTAGTCTGTTAGTACTGGTGTCAAATATAACATTAAAAAGAAGCAGTAACATTACCATAAAAGCTTTGACATATTTTTGATATTGGACAAAAACAATGTTCAAAAAAGGTAATTTATCATGATCAAAACCTTTACTTATTTTGCTCTTCTTTCTATACCTCAATAGTACTTTTCCCAAGTTGGTGCTATCAAAATATTCAATAAGTATGCGTGATAAGTTTAGAATCTTAAAACAATGCAGTAGTTATACTTTAAAAATTATGCTCAAGCAGTTATAGAAATTAAAGTGAAATTGTAGAGTCCAATTACAAAGACTCCTTTTGTGATGATAATTTTCTTGCAGAACAACTGCTGTCTAATGGCAGGGGTGGTATTTCCCATTGTATTGCTTCAGGATTAATTAAAATACTTGTTCTAGTGCATTACAAGTGGAAACCAAACATGCCACTGACGAATGTTGGTTGCACTGGTGAATATGATTATTGTTCTGTGGCTTTTTCATGGTCATAACTACGTAATTCACCTTTATTCTCATCAAGCCCTTCCAAACCCCACCAAAAAACCCAATTATATAATAAACCTGTATCAATAAGACAGGGATGAAGTATATTATCATGACTCGTGACTGTATTATAATAAAGTATTTCAGCAGTGTTGCTGAAAAAATTTATTATGACAATATATTTTATCTAAAATGCTCAAATATGATATGCTCACAAAAACAAAACTATATTTTGTCAGGTGGACTTATTCAAATCATCTATAATGTGAACCCAAGTTTCTTAGTTTTCTCAGCTCATTCGTGTTCTAAACATTTTTGCTTTAGGTTTGTAAATTATTCTCATTTTTCTGGACTTTTTTTTTTTTTGCAATATCTAGTTTAATTTGACTGGAGCAGAATCGAACTCCTCATAATTTCCTCCCATTCGATTGTTCAGTTCTTCTTCTTCTCTCCCTAATTTTACTCCCCAGGTTTCAATCCTCGACTCTGTGCTCACCTTAGTCTCTATATTTTGTGGATGACCTCATCCGCACAAGTGGGTCCAACTACTGTATATGTTGATGTCTCCTAAATAGATCTCTCAAATCCAGAACTCAGTTGAGTTCCAAACCCTTATATCCAACTTCCTTCTAGATGTTTTTACACAGGTAATACAGTGACTGCAAAATTAACCTGTTCAGATTGAATTCATCGTCTTTTCCCTAGAGTACGTTTTCTTGTTTTTCATGATGTATGCAACATCTCCATGTTCTTCAAAGCCACTTAGACTCTACCTTTTGCTCCTTAGATCTAATCAGTTAATACGTCCCTCAGATTCTATCTCCTTAATCTCTTTTAAAATTCACCCCATCTCTTCATAGCTACTCTATGACCTTTGTTCAGACTTTTACCACATTTTCTTGGATTATGAAAATCCTTGCACACCTTCTTATCTCTCTATTAGAATTCTGTAAGATGAGGCCTGCCTTCTCCATGTGCTCCCTTCAGGTATAGGGTCACAGGTATAGGCAG